GACACCCCCGGCACCCCCCCAGGACCCCCCGGGACCTCCCCAGGACCCCCCCGGGACCCCCCCGGGACCTCCCCCCCCGCGCGGGGAAGGGATCAAAGGGAAGGGGCTTCCCTTCGACTGAACTACGACGCTGTCCTATTTCGCTGTGGACGGCTTGTCTGAGGAAGAGGGCCCAGGTGAGTGGAACTCACGAAGACGGCGACGACGAGTCGAACGCGAAAGCCCGACTCGAACTGGAGAGCCCCGCACACACGCCGACAGGGTCGGCGGATTCCCAGGCCTTCCTCGTGGCCTGGGGTCTCTGGGGCTGCATCTCGGACCATCTCGGACAACCCTGGGGCGATCTTGGGGCCCACCGGTCGGTACGGCCGGAGTGGGTACGGGACGAGTTGGCACGGAGACCGAAAGCAGTTCGTGTCCATTTCGAACAGGATTCGCTGTGAGTGTCGCCGCGGACGTTGTCAACTTGAGTCAGGAGGTCGCCTGCCCAGCAGCGGCCGCAGTCGGATTTGGACAACCTTTGCTGTGTGGCATTGTACCCATTGTGACCGTTCCTGGGTGACTCGGGCTGCATCTTTGGGCCTTCTGGGGCCAACTTTTGGACGTTTTGTGCGACCTCGGAGGCTCTGGTGGGCCGTCTTGAAATTATCTTGGGACATCTGGAGATAACAACCTGGAACAGGCAAGTCAACGGACGGAGCACGCTGTACTGCTTCATTTTTTGGGGTCTCTCTGTCTCTGTCTCTGTCTCTGTCTCTGTCTCTGTCTCTGTCTCTCTCTCTGTTTCTCTCTCCTCTATCTCACTCTCTCTCTCTATTGTTCTCTCTTCAGAGCGAGCGCCGCTTCCGGCTACCTTCAGGCAGCGAACGATTGATGATCGGAGCGTTCAGCGGAGTGCCAGAAGAGCTTCGTTAGAGGGCTTCGCCTTCCTCCCTGTGCGTAGCACAGAAGAAAATACTCCCGATCTAAGACTTTTCGACCTGAGGGGGGGGGCCTTAAGGACGGTGGTCGAAGGGTCCACCTGTCTCAAGACCTTCTTCGCCCCCCAGAAACAAACTTAGCGCATCCCCAGGAGCCTCCACGAATCCCCACGAGCCTGCTGGAGGAAGTCCAAGGAGCTACAGGAGCTCGCTGGATGGTCCAGGTGGCGTCACGAAACACGGGGACCCCCGCAGGGAACCTTCATGCCACCAGGGAAGCCCAGGACACGCAAGGAGGCTCCAGCCAACCCCAGGGAGTCCCAGGAAGCCACGGGGACCCCCAGGCAACTTTAGGACTCTCCATTCCAGGGGGCCGCAGGAGGCTCCAGGACCCCCCAGGGAACCCCAGTGACTTGAATTTCTAGGGAACTTTGGGGAACTCCGAGGAGCCCCAGGAGGCCCCAAGAAGTCCCAGGTAGCCTCCGGGAGTCCCAGCAGGCCCCCAGGCCCCAGGGCCTTCAGGAGGACTCAATCGATGTGCCGGTGGTCGTTGGGAGACGCGTGGGGGCCCCACAGAACCACAGGGTGCTCCCAGAACCCCCAGGGAGCAGCAGTCGGGAGCAGGGCACTGCAGGAACCCCCAGGACCCCCCAGGGAACCCTGCGGACTCTCAGGGACCTCCAGGAAACCGCAGGGAGCCCCAGGGACCCCCCCGGAGGCCCCACGAAGTTTCGGGGACCCCCAAGAGGCCACAGCTGGCCCCAGGATGCCACAGGCATTGCGTCGCCGTCGCGACGCCGCCAGGGGAACCGCGTGGAACCTTGAAGTGGAACTTGATGTTTCCTGGGGGGGATCCAGCAGAATCCAGCGGAATCCAGGATAAAGCTCGATGAGTCAACATGAGCCCTGGGCAGCCGAGAGGAGGCCTGAAACGGTCGCAAAAGACCAACCGAAGGGCCTTGGCAGAAATTGGAAGTATCCCGGGGTGTCGTCAGGAATTTCGAGGGGCCAGGAGGAATCCGGAAGGACTCTTCCAGATCCCGAGAAATTCTGACGCAGCCTGAGGGCCCCCGAAGAAGCCGCTTACCGAGATGTCTTTTCAGACTCCCCCACCACCCCGCGCGGTAGCCGCGTAGCGGGATGCCAGCAGATACGACGCAGCTGCGACGCAGCTAGAGGAACATCGTGGAACTTTGAAGAACCGTAAGACAACACAGGCGACCACCTGATTCATGAGCGCCTGCGGAATCCTGATGCGCCCTGGGCGATCCCGAGAAAGCCTTTCAATTTCTTCTCATGCAGGCCCTCCCCCGCGCGGTGGTCGCATTGCGATGCGCATGCGTATGCGGCGCGGTCGCGACGCATCCGCAGAGGCATTCGCGCGCGCGTGTCCAGTCGCGCAGAGAGGTGCCATCCTGTTCGTGGATCGCGGCAGCAGCGCCGACATAACATACCTGGGTCGCCGCGGATGCGACGCACGAGTCCTCCCCGCGCGCTGGAGCGCTGCCATCTCGCGCAAGGAAGCTGCTTGGCGCCGCGCGCTGACACCCGCGCGGAAACCGCGTGCCGAGACCGTCGCCGCTGCGCTGCGCGAGCCCTCCTCTGCGCGCGCGAGTGCTAGCCAGTCGCGCGGGGAAGCTGGTGGGCGCCGCGCGCCGGCCCTCGCGCGAACATCGCGCGCCGAGACCGCAGAGCCGATGCGACGCACTAGTCTCGCAGGCCTAGAGGTTGACACCAACGCCAATATCGGCGGTGTTCCTCCACCGAGGGAAGAAGATCCCGATCTCGGTAATGGTGGTAATATTCTGGCTTCCAAGGTGACCGAAATATTACCACCAACACCGAAATCTAGGATCACCTCCCCCCTGTGGAGGCAGCCCCCTGTCTTGGTGTTGGTGCTTATTTCCAGGCCTCCAAAAGTCCCCCCCGTGCGCTCGAGCGCTGCCCAGTCGTGCGGGGAGTCTGCCTGGTACCGCTCGCCGGCCGCAGCGCGGGAAAGCGCCGTCGCGCGAGCCGCCCCCTGCGCGCGCCAGTGTTGCCCCCGTCGCGCGGGGAGCCCGCGGGGCGCCGCGTGCCGGCCCCCCCCGTGCGAACAGCGCGTGCCGAGGCCGCCGCCGATGTGACGCGCGAGTCTTCCCCCGCGCGCTCGAGCGCTGCCCAGTTGCGGAGGGAGCCTACCGGCGCCGCGCGCGCTGGCCCTATCGCGAGATTGGGCGTCGCGTCATCGGGGGGGTCATAATTTGGGGGGGTGGCGGGGGTGGTCCGCAGAGGTGCCCAAACGGTACCTACACGAGCCCCCTGGGGCTACGGAGGGGCCCGAAAACGGCACGAATGGGGGACCGTTTCTGACCCGCCCATGGCTGAACCCCCCAGTAAGTCAACCCCGACACATCGCGTTCCGAGACTTTCGCCGATGCCACGCCGCTGCGCCACCGCCACCGCGCATGGTGCGACGCGCGCGCGCGGCGTATAACCTGTCGCGCACCGCCCAGGTTGTACGGTCGGGGCGCTGAAGAAGGAGCCCTTTTGGTTTGGGAGGGGCTCCGTGTTCCTTAGTTGTTTTACCGTGCTCCTTGGGTTTTCTGGAGGTTTTCCATGGAACATCGGAGTCTAACTTATGGGAAAAAGGGGCCTCGTTCCTTATCTAAGGTTCCTTGGGCCAACGCCCCAACCGTATTCGTGCTGCCGAGCGAAGCCCCGGGCCTCGCGGGGCCCCCGCGCGCCACGAGCGCGCACGCCTCCTTCGCGCAGCGAGGCGCCGCCTCCTCCGCGGCGCGAGGCCCTCTCGCGCGAAGAGCGCGCGTGCCGAGGCCGCCGCCGATGCGGCGCGCGACTCCTTTCCCGCGCGCTCGAGCGCTGTCCGGTCGCGCGAGGAAGGTGCTCGGCGCCGCGCGCCGACCCCAACGCGACACCGTCGTATACCGTGTTGCCGAGGTGCCGCTGCTGCGCCACCGCGCCATGGCGTGATGCGGTTGGCATCCGACCACTCGTGCAGCGACGCGCGAGGTTCCAGTCGCGGCGCGAGGCCCCGATGCTCCTAGAGTCGCGCGACGAGATGCCTGTGGATGAGGCGCATGTCGTCTTCCCCCTTTATGAAGGGGCGGCGTGGGTGCAGATGCCCGGAGGGATCTTTCGGGGCAGGTGTGGGGGTTGGGACACGAGCATCACGAGGAGGAGGAGGAGGAGGAGGAGGAGGAGGAGGAGGAGGAGGAGGAGGAGGAGGAGGAGGAGGAGGAGCAGGAGGCGGAGGAGGGCAGGAGGAGGAGGAGGAGGAGGAGGAGGAGGAGGAGGAAGAGGATCAGGAGGAGCGGAGGAGGAGGAGGCGGCGGAGGAGGAGGAGGAGGAGGAGGAGAAGGAGGAGGAGGAGGAGGAGGAGGAGGAGGAGGAGTAGGAGGAGGAGGAGGAGGAGTAGAAGGAGGAGGAGGAGGAGGAGGAGGACGCACAGGACCCCCCCCCCAACAAGAATGCTGAGGGGGTGGGGTGCGTGCGCGCGTGTGCCCTGTCAGCTCTCGCTCTCTCTCTCTCTCTCCCTCTCTCTTTCTCGGGGGCGTCTGTGTGGGTTTTTGGGGGGCACGAGCGACGCATCTCGAAGCGATTCTGGAGGCCTCTTGGGTCTTCTAGCTGTCTGGTGGCGTCCTCAAGGAACCGTTTGTGCGATGTAGAGCGGCCGGGTGACTAAGCCCCCCCTCATTTTTTCCTCCGGTAGACACCGAAAAGGGTGCGCAACAACACAAAACACATCAAACAAGGCAACAGTGCAGTATGGTCTCGCAGCCCTGCGTCCCCGCCAAGGGGGCCCGCAGATCTTCGCTAAAGTCAAGGGCCTCATCGCTGACATGATCGACAGCCTCGAGAAAGAGGCGGATGCCGACGCGAAGCACAAGGCTTATTGTGATAAGGAGCTTGCCTACGCTGACCAGAAGAAAGCGGACCGCGTGGCGGAAATCGAGAAGCTCACCGTCTCGATCGATGGGATGTCGGCACGTTCCGCGCAGCTGAAGGAGGAGATCGCGACACTGGAGAAGGAGCTGGCCACCATCGCCACCGAGCAGGCAACCATGGACAAGATCCGCGCCGAGGAGAACGCTGCGTACGTCAAGAACAAAGCTGACATGGAGCAAGGCATCAAGGGTATCCAAATGGCGCTCAAGGTCCTGACCGAGTACTATGCGTCGGACAAGGAACACTCGGCGGCCGAGGGCGCCGGTCAGGGAATCATCGGCCTGCTCGAGGTGATCGAGTCGGATTTCCAGAAGGGCCTCTCCGACATGACGGGGGCCGAAGAGAGCTCCCAGGCGGAATACGAGCAGCTCACCAAGGATAATGAGATCGCCACCGCGACGAAGACCCAGGACGTGAAATACAAGACCAAGGAGTCCAAGGACCTGGACAAGGCGACCGCCGAGGCGGAGTCGGACCGCTCCGGGGTCCAGACGGAGCTCGAGGCGGTCGAGAAGTACCTGGCCAAGCTGCACGAGCAGTGCGACGAGACCGCGCCGACGTATGCCGAGCTCGTCAGCCGCCGCTCCGCGGAGATCGCCGGGCTCCGGCAGGCGCTGCAGATCCTCGAGGGCGAGGCCGCGCTGGTCCAGCAGCTGAGCCGGCACCAGACGCTGCGCGGCGTGCGGAGGCACCTGGCCTGAGAGGGCCCGGCCCCGCCAGGGGCGCGGCTCGGCGCGGGGTGCAGCAGCGCAGGCGCCCGGCGAGTGCGGACCAGGTGGCTCTGTGGGCCTCCCGCGTGAGGTCCGAGCCGACGGGGTCGGAGGATCGCGCCGCATCGCCGATGCATCGGCGATGCGGCTCGATGTGGAGCCCGACTTCTGCACGCTGGCGTCGCCGGTGCATCGCCGGCGTTGCCGATGCAGTCCTCCGACCCCGTCTACCCGGGCCCCATCTAGCAGGCCTCCAGTGGCCCTCCTGTGATGCTCGCTCTTCCTTGGCGGACGAGGAGCGGAATGGCATCAGCGTTTCCGCCGTCGGGGGCGCGCTTCCCAGAAAGGCTGGAAAGGTTACACCCCGACGGTTGCACGCCGGGATGTGCACTTTCCAGCCGTCCTGGGGCAGGCGTCGCCGAGGGCGGAACAGGTGATGTCTTCCCGTTTTCTCGTCCGCTCCGTCCTTGGGGCCAGCGGCGCCGCAGCGCGTTGCCAGAAGCGGCCCTGGCCCAAGGCGTGTCCCCGACTGCTCCTCGCACCTTTGCAGAGCCCCTCGGGGAGGAGGGAGGAGGGAGGAGGGAGGAGGGAGGAGGGAGGAGGGAGGGAGGAGGGAGGAGGAAGTAGGAGGGAGGAGGGAGGGGGGAGGGGAGGGAGGAGGGAGGGGAGGGAGGAGGGAGGCTGGCCCCCTGGGCCTCGTGAGGGGGTGCTCCGGAGGCCGTCGGGGCCTGCCCGGGAATTCATCCTGGGGACGTCGTGGGCCGGGGGCACCGGCAGCATTGCACCCCCTACCTCTCCTCCTCCTCCTCCTCCTCCTCCTCTCCTCTTCCTCCTCCTCGTCCCCCTCCTCCTCTTCCTCCTCCTCCTCCTCTCCTCCTCCTACCTTCCTCCTCCTCCTCCCTCCTCCTCCTCCTTTCCCTCCTCCCCTCCTCCTCCTCCTCCTCCTTTTCCTCCTCAACCTCCTCCTCTTCCCCTCCTCCTCCTCCTCTCCTCCTCCTCCTCCTCCTCCTCCTCCTCCTCCTCCTCCTCCTCCTCCACAATTACTCAATATGAATACTACTCTCCCTCTTCCCCCGATGGCGGCCTGAAAGTATTAGACCCCCCCCGCGTCCTGCTTTTTTGCAGACAGGATTCCCGGGAGTTGGGTTTTCGCCTGCATTTTTTCCAAAATGCTGCTCTCGCCGAGGCGCCGGCATTATTTTCGGCCCCCGCTCGTTCCGAATCGTGCTCCCGCTGCAGCGCTGGCCTCATTTCCGTGCTTCCGCTCGTTCCGAATCGTGCTCCCGCTGCAGCGCTGGCCTCATTTCCGCGCTTCCGCCCGTTTCGACTCGTGCTCCCGCTGCAGCGCTGGCGTCATTTCCCGTGCCATGCCACAGCACACGCGCACACACGCACACACACACCACCACCACCACCACCACCACCACCACCACCACCACCACCACCCACCACCACCACCACCACCACCACCACCACCACCACCACCACCACACACCACCACACCACCACCACCACCACCACCACCACCACCACCACCACCACCACCACCACACCACCACAGAAAATCAGCGCCATGGTAAGGGATGGGAGGGAGGGGTAGGACGTCAGATATGACGCGCGCGCACCTAGCTTGTCCTCCTCCCCCTCCTCCTCTTCTCCTCCTCCTCCTCCTCCTCGTACCTCCTATCCTCCTCTCCCCCTCCTCGTCCTCCCTCCTCCTCCCTCTCCTCCTCCTCCTCCTCCTCCTCCTCCTCCTCCTCCTCCTCCTCCTCCTCCTCCTACCTCCTCCTCCTCCTACCTCGTCCTTCTTCTCCTCCTCCTCCTCAGGCCCCAGGGGCCGTGGCATGCGGCAGTGCGCCTCCAGATCGCCCGCAGGGGCTCTGCTGTGCGACACGGACGGGCTCCGGCCTCCTGGAGACTTGTTGGAAGATTCCTTGGAGGCTCCTTCGAGCATGCCCGGGCCCGGCGGACTTGACATCTCCATGGCCGCGCTGCAGGATGAGGATGAGGATGCTGCTGATGATGCTGCTGATGATGATGCTGATGATGATCATGGTGAGTATGATAATGATGATGATGCTGATCATGATGATGATGCTGCTGCTGCTGATGATACTGCTGATAATGATAATGATGATGCTGCTGCTGGTAATGATGATGATGAGGAGGAGGAGGGTGGTGGTTGTGGTGGTGCTGATGATGAGGATTATGATGCTGGTGAGCCTAATGATGATACTGCTGCAGCGGTTGCTTCTGCTGATGATGCTGCTGCTGATGATGATGATGATGACGATTAGGTGATGATGACGATGATGACCATGACGATGATGATGATGCTGCTGCTGATGATGCTAATGATGATGCTGATGCTGCTGATGATGAGGATGATGAGGATGATGCTGATGCTGCTGATGGTGATGTCATTGATTTTGTTGTCGATGCTGATTATGATAATTAAGGATGCTGATGCTGGCAACGATGTGTTTGATGATGATGATGGTGATGACGACGATGATGATGCTGATGATGACGATGCTGCTGCTGATGATGACGATGCTGCTGCTGCTGATGATGATGAAGGTGGTTATGATGGTGACGATGATGCTGATGCTGATGCTGATGCTGATGATAATGATGATGATGATGATGATGATGATGATGATGATGATGATGATGATGATGATGATGATGATGATGATACTGATATTCATGCTGGTGCTTATGATGGTGTCGATGGTGATGACGATGACGAATTATGCCAACAATTATGATGATGCTGATGCTGATGATGATGACTATTATTAGGCTGCTGATGGTGATGATTTTGAAAACGGGTATGATTATGATGCTGTTGCTGCTGCTAATATTGATTCTTAGGATGACGATGATGGTGCAAGTGATGATGATGCTGATGCTGATTCTGACGATGATTGTGATGATGATGCTGCTGGTGATGATGATGATTATCATGATGCTGCTGATTCTGATTATGATGATGACGCTGATTCTGATGATGAGGACGATGATGGTGATGCTGATGCTGAATATGATGTAATCGATGATGGTGATGACGCGGATGATGCTGATTAATGATGCTGATGATCATGAGGAGGTGGAGGAGCTGAGGATCGGGATGGGGCTGATGTTGAGAAGAATGGTGCAGTGATGGTAAAGGTGGTGATGATGATGCTGATTCTGATGATGCTGATGACGATGATGATGTTAATGGCGATGATGACGATGATTATGCTGATGATGCTGATGATGCTGATGATGGTGATGCTGATGATTGTGCTGATGCTGATGATGATGTTGATGATGATGATAGGGGTGATGCTTATGGCGTTGATGATGCTAATGATGCTGATGGTGTTAACCACGACGATGACGACGATGCTGATGCTGTGGATGATGATGTTGCTGCTGTGATGATGATCATCACGATGCTGACGAGGATTATGACAAGGATGCTGATCATGATTCGGATGATGCTGATGAGGATCAGGATGAGGATGAGGATGAGGGTGGCGATGATGAGGACGAGGATGAGGGTGGGGATGGTCAGGATAGTGAGGAGGATGAGGTTTGGGATGCGGATAAATGTGAGGGCAGAGGATGATGATGACCATGATGATGCTGATGACGATGATGATGACGATGCTGCCGATGATGCTGACGATGATGATGATGCTGCTGCTGGTGATGATGAGGATCAGGGTGACGACGGCGATGACGATGAGGATGTTGCTGCTGATGATGATGATGATGATGAGGAGGAGGATGATGATGATGATGATGATGATGCTGATGATGATGATGCTCATGATGATGCTCATGATGATGCTGATGATGCTTATGATGATGAGACTGTGATGATGATGGTTGTGATGCTCAAGCTTGCGCTGCTGCTTCGGTTGTTGATGCTGGTGATGCTTATGATGCTGATGGTGATGTCTGCTGATGATGCTGCTGCTGATGATGTCGATGAGGATGAGGATGATGATGCTGATGCTGCTGATGATGACGATGTTGTACCTGATGATGCTGCTGCTGATGATGCTGCTGATGATGATGCTGACTATGCTGATGATGATGGTGAAGATGATGATGACGATTATGATGATGATGCTGATGATGATGATGATGATGATGATGATGATGATGATGATGATGCTGCTGATGCTGATGCTGATGCTGATGCTGGTGATGATGATGATGATGATGATGATGATGATGATGCTGATGATGCTGATGATGATGACGAGGAGGAGGAGGAGGAGCAGGAGGAGGAGGAGGAGGAGGAGGAGGAGCATCGCGCATGACCGTGCCGTGTCGGCGGGCTCCACACGGTGCAGGGCGCGCACATCTGGCCTCGAGGCATCTTCTGGTTCTCCCAATCCTGAGCGCATACGCCTTCCATATGACAAGAAAGGAGAGGCAGGCGGAGAAAGAGGGAGAGAGAGAGAGAGGGACAGAGAGAGAGATAGAGAGAGAGAGAGAGAGAGAGAGAGAGATAGAGGGAGAGAAAGAGAAAGCTAGAGAGGGCGGCAGGAAAACGTGGACGATGGACGGAAGGAGAGACGGATGGGAGGAAGGACGGAGCGGAGGAGGAGTAGGCGGAGGGGGGCAGGAGTGTTTGTGTTTGTGTGTGTGTGTGTGTGTCTGTGTGTGTGTGTGTATGTTTGTTTGTGTGTGTGGGGGAGAGGTCAAGATAGGTGAGGAGGGGGAGGATTATGAGGAGGAGGAGGAGAAGCAGGAGGATTAGGATTAGGAGGATGAGGAGGAGGTTGAGATATGGCGACTTAGGAGGAGGACGAGAAAGAGGAGGAGGAGAAGGAGGAGAAGGAGGAGCAGGAGGATGAGGAGAACGAGGAGGAGGAGGAGGTTGAAAAATGGAGGGGTAGCAGGAGGAGGGGGATGACGAGGAGGAGGAGGAGGAGGAAGAGGAGGAGGAGGATGAGGAGGAGGAGAGGGGAAAGCGGGAGGATGGGGATGAGGAGGGATGGCGTGTGGGCGGGTACAAGCTAGGTGTGCGCTCGCGCCATTCTGACATACTACACCGCCCACTCATCTCTTCCCACTGCGCTGACTTTCCGATGTCCGCCGAGGGGTCTCAAACACGGACCTTGAACAACCAGGTGACCCTATCGCGGTCTGCGCAAGTAGAAAAGGGAGTTGAGTACATTGGAGGAAGTGCGGCAGGAGCAGGCGGCGGATGAGCAGGATGATGAATAGGATACGGAAGGACGAGGATGAGGGGGAGGAGGAGGAGGAGGATATTGATGATCAGGATGACGATGATGACGACGACGATGGCGATGATGCTGATGATGATGACGTTGATGCTGATGGCGGTGATGATGAGGCTGCTTATGATGATGTTACTGATCATGATGGTGCTGATGATGCTGCTGATGATTCTGCTGCTGATGCTGCTGATGATGATGCTACTGATTATGCTGATGCGGTTGATGATGAGGATGCGGATGCTGCTGCTGATGATGATGCTGCTGATGTGGATGATGCTGCTGATGAAATTTATGATGCTGATGATGCTGATGATTATGCTGATGCGGATGATGCTAATGATGCTACTGCTGACGATGATGATGCTGATGCTTAGGATGAACTTGATGATCATGATGTTGGTTATGATGACTGTCATTTGGATGACGATGCTGTTGCGCATGCTGATGCTGATGATGCTGATGACGATGCTGGTGCTGTTGCCGCCGTTGCTGCTCATGCTGATGAGGATGCTGCTGCTGCTGATTGTGATGCCGACGACGACGATGCTGATGATGCTCATGATGGTAATGGTGATGCTGCAGGTGATCATGATGATGCTGCTGATGATGAATATGATTTAGGTGATGCTGATGATGCTGCTGGTGCTGATGCCGATGATGATGATGTTGATGCTGATTGTGATGATCATGCTGATGACGATGATGTTGATGATGCTGGTGTTGATGCTGACGATGGCGGTGGGGATGGCGCTGATGATGCTGATGATGATGTTGATGCTGCTGCTGCTGATACTCTTGATGATGGTGTTGATCATGATGTTGCTGCTGCTGATGCTGATGATGATGCTGCTGTTGATGCTGTTGCCGCTTATGATGCTGATGCTGATGATGCGGCTGATGATGAGGATGCTGATGCTGATGATGATGCGGATGTTGATGCTGCTGGTGATGATTATGTTGATGCTGACGATGCTGATTATGCTGACGATGCCACTGCTGCTGGTGATGATGCTGGTGCTGATGATGATGCTGATGATCATGATGTTGGTTATGAAGACGACGATGGCGTTGACGATGTTGTTGCATGCTGATGATGCTGATGATGCTGATGATGATGACAATTATGATGCTGATGCTGCCGTTGCTGCTCATGCTGAAGATGATGATGCTGATGCTGCTGATGCTAATGATGATGCCGACGACGACGGCGATGCTGATGTTGTCGTTGATGATGATGATGATGCTGATGATGATGATGATGATGATGCTGGTGACGGGGATGATGCTGCTGATGATAATCATGATTCTGCTGCTGATAAGGGTGATTCTGATGATGATGCTGCTGGTTATGATGATGCTGATGCGGATTGTGATGACGATGCTGATGTTGGTGCTATTGCCGATGCTGATGATGATGATATCGATGTTGATTATGAGACTGTTGATCATGATCATTTTCATGCTGATGATGGTGATGATGATGATGATGGTGATGCTGCTGATGATGAGGATGCTGATGATGATGATGATGATGATGATGATGATGATGATGATGGAGAGGAGGAAGAAAAGGGGGTGTTGGAGGAGGAGGAAGAGGAGGAGAAGGCGAAGACTGAGGATGCTGATGCTGATGATGCTGATGATGATGCTGATGATGATATTGATGATGATGCTGATGATGATGATGATAATGATGATGATGATGATGATGATGATGATGATGATGATGCTGATGATGATGATGATGATGCTGATGCTGATGATGACGACGATGATTATGATGCTGATGATGATGATGATGATTCTGATGATGCTGACGATGATGATGATGATGATGATGATGATGATGATGATGATGATGATGATGATGATGATGCTGGTGCTTATGATGATGATGATGATGATGATGATGATGATGATGATGATGATGATGATGCTGATGATGGCTGATGAGGAGGAGGGGGAGGAGGAGGAGGAGGAGGAGGAAGAGGAGGAGGGGAGGAGCTGAGGATGATGATGCTGTGTGGCTGTGCTGCAGCTGATGCTGATGCTGATGCTGATGATGATGATGATGATGATGATGATGATGATGATGATGATGATGATGATGATGATGGTGATGATGATGATGATGATGATGATGATGATGATGATGATGATGATGATGATGATGATGATGATGCTGGAGAGAAGGAGGAGGAGGAGGATGAACAGGAAGAGGAGCATGAGGAGTGGGAGGAACTGACGCACCGGGAGAATGAACGCGGGGAAAGGGGGGCGACACCGTCGAGGAAGGACTCCTGTCCAGCAATCAGGCCCGCGCTGGGGCGACAGCGCCATTCTGAACGACGGGAGCGCAGCGCTGATCCTGAAAGGAGGCCAGCGCTGCAGCGTGAACACCGTTGTGAGCAAGCAGGAACGTTCCGATTGAACACACATATGAAAATGCCATGTTGGAAATCTCTCACTCGGGCTGGATCCGGGGAGTGAGGGGAGTAGTACTCGTATTGAGCAATTGTGTAGGAGGAGGACCAGGAGGAGGAGGAAAAGTACTAGGAGGAGGAGGAGGAGGAGGAGGAGGAGGAGGAGGAGGAGGAGGAGGAAACGAGTAGCTCCACCGTCGAGGGGGAGGGTCATCGCGCGTTCGGCCCGCCCGCCAGCTGCGCAAGAGCCGCATCGTGCTGGGGGAGCTGCTGCGAGATCGTCAGGCGCTGGGGCTCGGCGATCAGGGAGGATGGGGAGGAAGAGGAGGAGGATGGGGAGGAGGAGGAGGGGGGAGGAGGAGGAGTAGGAGTAGGAGGAGGAGGAGGAGGAGGAGGAGGAGGAGGAGGAGGAGGAGGAGGAGGAGGACAAGGACAGTTGTTGGCCTGCTCCAGATTGTTTTGGCCGCAAGACCTGGAGGCCTTTCGCGGCAGGGAGCATGCCATGCAATGCTAGGCGATGCTTTGATGTGCTATCGCAGCGCTATGTTATGCTAGCGCTTTGCTAACGTCATTCCACACCTGTGCTATGCAACGAGAGTGCTTTGATACTGCTACTTAGGGTATGCGTTGCGATGCCATGCCGTGTCCTGTGCTATGCTCCGCGAGTGCAGCGCTGTGCCATGCTGGTGCCGTACTGGTACATAGCTATGCTATGTCGATGCTAGGGCATGCTCTGCCATCTTGTGTATGGTCGAGCCGTTGTTTTTTTGTTGTTTTTTGTCAGTTTGTTTAATTTTTACGTGGCCACACGACAGCTTGTGCTATGCTATGTCGAGCTATGTCGAGTCTGCTCTTGATGAGATCGCTGCAGTGAGCAGTAGCTAACGGGATCTTGCGAACACGTGCCAACGTGGTGGTGCTGACGAGAACCGAAGAACGGAAGCATACGGAGCCACGCCTCCGCTCGCGACCGATGCTTCCCAGCCCCCTACCTCTCCCCCTCGCCCCCAATCCCCCCCCTCCTCCTTCTCGTCCTCCTCCTCCTCCTCCTCCTCCTCCTCCTCCTCCTCCTCCTCCTCCTCCTCCTCCTCCCCCTCCCCCTCCCGCTTCCCCCCTCCCCCTCTCTCCCTCCTCTCTCCTTGCACCTTGTCTCCCCCCCCTCCTTGCCCCTTCTTCCGCGGGCGGCGCGCGTGCACCGTCGTGTCGCGGTGGCTGCCTCTCGAGGCGTCGTCGATCCTGGACCCAGGAATGGTGCGGTGCATGCTCCTTCTCCTCCTCCTCCTCCTCCTCCTCCTCCTCCTATTCGACCCTGCGAGCCGAAAAGACGATGCATCGTACCGCGTTGGAGTGGGGCCTGAGGGGGGTCCCAACACGGCATGGTGAGTGGGCGCTGTCCTCTCGTGCCTCTTGTCCTCTTCCTCCTCTCTCCCTCTCTCCTCCCTCTCCTTGCCCTTTCCTTCCCCTTCTCCTCGTGCCTCTTCTCTCCTTCTCCCTTGCCTTCCCGTTCCCGTACCTCTTCTTTCCTTCTCCGTCCCCTGTCCTTCCCCTCTTCTCCTCTTCTCCTCTCTGCCCCCCCTCGTTCCCCGCCCCCCGCCCTTTTCGCCCGCGCTCCCCCTCTCCTGCTCTGCCCTGCACGCCTCGACAGAAGGCCGGCGTGACCACGCGCCAACGAGAGGGCGCCCCCCCTTGGGGCAGGCGGGCCGGGCCTGTCGACACACAGCACCACAGAGACGCCGCGACGATTCGAACGGTGAGG